GGCGGGTACCCGCCTCATTTGGCGAGAACCGGAACTGGAACCAGAGCCGGCGGTTCCTTGAAAGTTAGAACTGGAACCGGAACCGCTCTAGGCAATTTTTAAATGTTTGGAACCAGCCCCGGAACCGGCGGTTCCGGTTTTGAGAGCGGATAACCCGGTAGCATTAATTTTGTTAACTTTTTTCGACAAAACCGCAATTTAGTTCGATCCAAATGAAATCAATTTGGACCAAAGTTGGACAAAATCGGACCAATATATTCTAAACCGGTCTAAGTAACACACATTTATATGAAATTATATATATATATATATATATATATATATATATATATATATATATATATATAGGGTTAAGTTCATGTGAGACCACGTGATTTTGTGAGACGAGGAGACCAAATCTTGACCACTCATCCTAAATAATCAAAGGCTAATATTAATTCAGATTAAACCATAAAATAGGTGGTGACAATTTATTAAATTAATGGAACTTTTGGATTAGATCAAGACACGGAGGGGCATGAATGGAATTTTGCATTCTTTTTCTTTCAACACAAAAAAACACCCGGTACGAACCCTAAAACCCATTTGATCCAAATCTGGATCATCGTTCTGCTTCTAAATCTCGATCATTGTTTCAGACTCTGATTCTGATTATACCTGAAATTCATCTTCCGATTATTGCACGAAAAACCACTCGATAATCAACTAGAACATTAAAAACATTTTTAATTTGAATTTGATATCGAATCAAATGGCTCATTCTACAGATTCTGATTATGATTTTGTATCAACAGTTGTTCCAAGTAAGTATAATACTACAAACCTCTTGTTCTTACTCAATAAACCTATCTGTTCTTATTATAGAAAGTTTTTTCACTTTAAATCGTTGTGTGTGTTCAATAAATGTCAAATAATCGAGATAGTTCACTAGAGATGTATATGTCGCAGTCAGGATGTAATGGAATATAACATTATAAAGCATACAATCTAAACTTAAATCTCAATGTGTGATTTATATAGAGTCTATGTATCTAAATGTTAACTCTACAGAGTGTTCTGATTATTCCCAATTTCATTTGATCTAAATATTCTTAATCAAAATCAGCAAAGATGTTATGTTATTCTAACTAATTGTTCATCATTTAATTAGATTTAGATCCATAAATTGTCTAATACTATAGATTTTGGTAACACAAATCTCTTATTATGATTGTAGTATAGTGTTTAGCCAAAAAAAATCTTTGTATTCTAGTGATTTTTTTGTTGATTGATAAATAGAAATTTGTTGTTATGTATTTATAGAACTGTGACCAGATTATATATCATAAACTAATATGAATTCTAATAGAATTTGTTGTTATTGATGCAGCTAAAAAAGTGCAAACAAATGCAACTGTAAGAAAAAAACAGGGAAAGAAATTTATATCGATATATGTATAAATTGTGATTACTTTTAGATTAAATATTATAATTGCTTTTATTAACCTCTAAATGCTTTTAATAAATATTCTAATTGTTTTATTTGACAATTTTCTTTATACAGATTCAGCGAGTCAAGATAGGGTTAAAAAAGGTATGAACACACTTTCTTTCAAATAATTCATAAAAAAAAACAAATGTTTGGATTTATTTTTCTAATTGATTTTAATTGTTAAATTTCATGACAAAAGATTTGCAAATTGTAAATCAAAAGAAAAAGAAGACAAATCTTATGTTGATTGATAAATATAAATTTGTTGTTATGTATTTATAGAACTGTGACCAGATTATATATCATAAACTAATATATTCTAATTGATTTATTTTTCTATATTAGTCATTCTGAATATTCTATTTTTGTTTTATCATAGATTCTAATTGATTTTAATTGTTAAATTTCATGATAAAAGATTTGCAAATTCTAATGGATTTTGTTGTTATTGATGCAACTAAAAAAGTGCAAACAACTGTAAGAAAAACAGGGAAAGAAATTTATATCGATATATGTATAAATTGTGATTACTATTAGATTAAATATTTTAATTGCTTTTATTAACCTCTAAATGCTTTTAATAAATATTCTAATTGTTTTTATTTGATAATTTTCTTCATACAGATTCGGAGAGTAAAGATAGGGTTAAAAAAGGTATGAACACACTTTCTTTCAAATAATTCATAAAAAAAAACAAATGTTTGGATTTATTTTTCTAAGTTAGTTATTCTGAATATTCTAATTTTGTTTTATCATATATTCTAATTGATTTTAATTGTTAAATTTCATGTTAAAAGATTTGCAAATTGTAAATCAAAAGAAAAAGAAGGTAGCTGAAGGAAAATCAAAGAAAAAAATTAAAAAAAAAAAACGTTGTTACTTCTGAAAGCAACTCTGATTCTTCTTCTGATTTATCCTCATAGCATAGAAAAAGAATTAAAAAAGGTATCAATAATCATTCTTTAAAACACTTAACAAAATAAATTTTTTGGATTTATTTTTTTCGGTTGGTTATTATGACATTCAAGTTGATTAAAATAAATATTCTAATTTATTTTAATTTTTAAATTTCTTCATACAGCTAAAAATACAAAAAGGAAGAAAAGACTTGGAAAGAAAAAAAGATACTATTGTTTCAGATTCTTCATCTTCACAGTCAGAGACATCAGAGTCAGAGATATCCACAACAGAGAGTGATGATTATGGTAAAATATGTTGTCTTTTATAATATATATGTTGACATCCAATAAAAGTATATTATATTTTTATAATAGAATATTTATTGATGCAGATCAAGTAAATAAAAAGAAAAAAATAAAAGTCAAAAAAACATTTCAAGCGCCACAACAAATTAATCCATAATGATGTGAAGCACAAAAAGAAAAAACATGTTTCTGATTCTTCAACAGAATCAGAGACAGAATCATATACATAGTCAACGGGTAAAATAATCTAAACTTTTTTTTTATGAAATATGATTTTATACTTTACAATTCTAATATTATGGAACAATATAAATATTAGAGTGTTTCGAAGAATAGTTTTCATAGACTATGTTTGACATGAATTGCTTATGGATCATAACTGAAATTTTTGGTATTTTGATGTGAAAATATTTTTCTATTGTTTATTGATGTGAAAGTATGTTTCTATGATATGAAATATTTATGGTTCATATTACACATTCTATATATTGTTATATCATAAATCATGTTATACGTGATTTTTTTGTTGTTTTACTTAGCTAATATAGGATTTTGCAACATTTGAGTTTAATTTTTTAAAAATAATATAATTTGAATAAATATCTACATTTTACTTAGATGATATAGTATTTTTGGATTAAATTTCATAGAATATTCTGATATAATAAGTGTATATGTATAATATTCTGTTTGGAATATTACTTTGTAATTAAATGATATATGATTTTTGGATTTTTGTAGGGTTACTAACATCTATGACTGATGTAATGAATTAGATGATGAATCTGATAAAGAAATCTATGTAAAAAAGAGAACCGGTGATAGAAAATATGTTGAAGGAGTGACAAAGATTAAAGAAGTAAAAAGGAAGAGGAATAATGGGGACAATCATGCAGCAATAAAGAAACAAAAAACCGTGAAAGAGCAAAAGACTGTGAAAGATATATTGAAGGAGTTGCCTTCAATAAACACTAGATCGACACCTGGATTGATGAAAGATGTTGTAAGTTCTTTGACATCAGAACAAAAAGATTGGGTGAAACGGATGGGATTTAAAGCATTTTTGAAGATCAACATTAAGAGTATTCCCTTAAAACTTTGCCATTTTGTGCTTAAGCATTATGATGAAGGCACAAACAGTATTTTGATTAAAGGAAAAAAAATAAAGATCACAAAGGAAAAAAATCATAAAGTTTTTGGTTTACCCAAAACTGGAAAAAGCTTATTTGACTTGGACAAGGTTAGTGAAGATCATCAAGTGTTTGATGGATGGATGAAGGAACTTGAAGACGGAAAGGCAAATGAAACAAACTACAAGAAGATTATTCAAAAATCCGAACAAGTGGATATGAATTTCAAGCTGGGTTTCATAGCTTTATTTGTTAATACGTTTGTAGAATCCATTCCTATGGGGACAAACAACTTAGTTCCAGTTAGAGCACTTGTTGAAGTAGATGACATTTCTAAAATCGATTGGTGTGCATATTTTTTGTACTATGTGAAAAAATCAAAAAGGAGATGGCTTCCAGACAACCCCAAGTGTTATTATATAGGCCCGATGTTGTTGCTATTGGTATGTTTTTTCATATACTTATTTTTTTTCTTAAAAATGGATATGTAATATGATGTTGAAATAATGCAGCTAATTTATTGTGATGAAATTGAATGCAAGCTCCAAAAAATAGAACGTAAAACACCATTAGTTACGATGTGGACAGTAGATAAGTTGAAGGAAAGACAATCTTTTGAGATTGAAGCTGGTGGATATGGGGTTGGGAATCTAATTGAATAAAGTTCAAATTTAGAACGTGAGAAGAATGAAAATCAGGTGAATGAGAATCAGGACACGCGTATTGAGGTATTTTCTAAGTAGAATATATTATTAAATTATGTTTTAGAATATATTTTAATTATATCCTAACTTAATATAAGAAAAATATTGTAATGTCTTTTTTTCCCAGGAGTATGAAGAAAAGTATGAAAAAATTTTCAGCAATGTCTCAACTGGAAAGAATGATATGGAAGATATTATTTTTCATTGTCTATCGAAGTTCCCTAAAGACAATAGAATGAAGGAGATGATAAGAAAGTTTAGAGACATATTTTGAACTACACATTTTTCTAGTCGAGAAAAATCAGAAACTGTTAAGGAGAGAACTAAAGTCAAAACAGATAGAGATGAAGAGCTTAATAAAACAAACATTTATGATTCTGATGATGATAAAGATGAAGGAATGAATACAAAGTTGGTTGCATTTTTAGTTGTTAAATGATTACAATAGAAGTTTCCAGAGAATGAAGAAACACAAGAAGAAGATCAAGATATGAATGTTGATGACCGAATAAATTTGGGTTTTGAGAATAATATTGGTGAGGAAACCATTAGACATCTGCATAATCCAGAAATACAAATAGAATTTGAAGGCATAAATGTTAATGACAAAATAAATTTGGCTTTAGAGGTGAATAATATAGACGAGACTATTGAAAAGAAGAATTTAGAAGACAATGTTGAGAGCAAAAATCTTGTTGAGGGTGGTGAAATGATTCGTGGGGAGAATATTAGGGAGGGGAATATTGTAGACAAGGTGGTTGGAGACAACATAGGTAAGAGCTCAATTGTTACACCAAAACACAATCCAAAAGGTATATCTATTGATTTTTTCCCTTGGTCTGATTCATTCACAGAAAAAAATGGATGAGGATTTACTTAGAATATTCTCAAACAGAAATCCAGATTCAAATACAATTCAAAATCCAGTTGTCAGACCTCCTGTTCCAAAAAAGCTAACATTTGAAAATTTAGAAATTCCTTCCTTTGATCTTCAAATAACCTGTCACACACCAAAACCGATAACGGCGGAATACGTTTCGGGGCGGAGGACGGCATGTACATTATCATCACAATTGCATAATAGTAAAAACAAGAAACATACAACCATTTCATTTACATAGTGAGTTTAGTTACAAGTGTGTTTTGTAATGTTCAACAAACACCAAAAGTAATACAAAAATAAGAGATGGATCTTGTATGCTCCACCTTCTCCAAAATGCTGCACCTGTACCTGTCTATCTTTGACCTGAGGATACAAGTTATTTTGAAAACGAATATCAGCATAAAGCTGGTGAGTTCATAAGACTCTAGTGTGAGTTTTCGTATAAAAAGCATTAGAACCGATAATATCAAAAGCTGAAATTTACAGTCATAAGTAGTAGTAAAACCTAGAAAATCTTATATTTTCCAGAAATGCATTGTAAGTGAAAACCTTTAAGAAACATGTCATTTTCATCTTTGAAAACCATTTATCGTAAAAGTATAATAGTGACTCTCCAATCAGTAATGCAATATAGTGAGATATGCCTGAAGTCAATAATAGTGGTACCAACTTCCTTTAGTGTTAGATGCTTTGTTACTTCGGGATATTAACTTAACCTTTAGTTTAGTATTTTAGTGTGGTTATAGTGTATTTCTTGTATGTTACCAATAGCGTGAGTAATAGCGGACCCCATGACCTTCCCTGTCATGCACAGTGTAGTGAAGTAGTGGCATCCCTGGACTTGTGTGACTCGGACTGAAGTTAACAGTCGGGATGTAATAGCGTCTGCCCCATATAGATCTATACATATAGCGTCGTCTTCCTGTCGGAAAACTATGGGCGTAGTGGGTAGCGAATAGAGTATCCCGTAGTGAGTTAGTGTGTTATCGTCTCTTTAGTGTTTTCTCTTTTGTTATAGTGTAGTAGTCTTTTAGTATAGTTCATAGTGTGTTCTCTTACTAGTGTATTGTCTGGTAATAGTGCGTATTATAGTGTAGAGAGTAATAGCGATAGTGACTAGTAGTAGTAGTAGTAGCATTAACTATACCTATTATAGTTAACTTAGTGTGTATGGTTCTTGTCATGTTAGTGATTTAGGCATATAATGAAATGATAAATACTCGTGTCCCATACTAATATACAAGATATATAACTAAGAAATCAACGACAGTCGGACGGATAACCCCTACCCTAAGCCCACAATCAAACAAGAACAGAAAATATGGCGAGATATCGGTCCTAAGTCCTTCAAGTCTTACTTATATAATTATATTAGCATGGTTACATTTTATAAGAAGATTTGTTTAATAAAATTATTGTCCAAAAGAAACATTTAAAAACTTGATTATTATCTAAAATAGTTTTGAAAACGTAGAATCTATTTATAAGGCATAGTAATAATTCACATGTGATTTGAACTAGGGATAGTGAATCACATGTGATTAATTTCCGTAACATGAGTAATTGTCTTGTATAAATTTCCATAAACATGTATAATCAACTTGTACCCCCCCCCCCTAAAACATATAAAACATTTGGAAGGTTCATTTAAGGGGTATGAACTCACCTGAAATCGCGTAAATCGGGTGAGAGTGTCGGTTGAGCGTTTTGTACCAAATAACGACTTGTGCACCTTTTAGGACCCTAATGTCATATGAAATATGTATTTTACAAGAAATTAATCATTTTATGCTTTTCATTAAGGTATTTAGGCATTTTAACATCGCTTCTGGATTCTAGGGCTTAGATGGGGTTCTCGGGAGTGGTATAAGGCCAAGAGGGGTTTGCGGGGGAGTCCAAGAGTTCACTCCCTTGGAGTTTACGGCCCAAAGGCCACTCCTTGGGATTTTACGGCCATAAGCCCCTAGGCTTGGCCGTAAACTCTTGTTTTCCTCCAAAAGTGCAAGTTAAGGCCTTATTTCAACTCCATATATTTCTGGTAAATGCCTAGGGTTAATTTGGGGGGTTAAAACCTTCATTTGGTGTCATTTGGAGGAGTTTACGGTCCAAACTTGTGCTTGGGCTGTAAACTCCATTTTGTCCCTCAAAATGGATTGTTAAATGGTCCAAATCACTTCCTTAAGTCTTAGTTAAATTCTAGGAGGCCTTAGGTGGGTTTGGGGACATTTTGGCATAGAAATTGGGTAGTTTACGGCCCAAGCATAGCCTTGGCCGTAAACTCCTCCTTTGGCTTCAAAATGAAATGTTTAATGGCCTTAAACATTTCCTAGGGTCATAGTTAAATTCCTACATGCCCTAGATGAGTTTTTGGGACTTTATAACATGGAAAATGGGTGTTTACGGCCTAAGCATAGGCTTGGGGCCTAAACTCCCTTTTAGGATCTAAAATCTTTTGTTTTGGTGTCCAAACTCGTCTAGGTATATCCCTTAGTTAGTACACAAGCTTAAAGGAAGGAAAAATGGAATGTTGGCCAAGATCTGAGGTGTTTACAGCCTAAGGGGCTTCTTAGGCCGTAAACTCCATTTTTCTCACTACTTCATATGATTTTTGTGTTCTAAATACAATGAAATACATTTAGAACAAGCTAGGGAAGTAACTGTTACGTTTGGAAGCTGGAATTCGCGATTTTGGAGTCGGGTTCGGGTCTAGAGAGAGAAAGTTGTGAGAGAGGGTGAATGGGTGGTAAAAGAGTGTCCAAGTGGTGTTTACTCTCATTTTATGTGCCTCGGGTAGTGCACCCGGTACACGGCTACCCAATGCTAAAGTTTAACGGGGTTAAAACTTTTTACCCGGGTGAAGCGGTTGAAAAGTAGTTTAACTCTATTTAGTTGAACGGGGTTAACACTTATAAGTTATAATTACTTTTGATAATATCAAGAAATATAAATAACTAGATATTTATTTATTGGCGACCCAAACATTACGGAAAAATAACATATAGCGACGAATTCTGTTAGTGAAGATGGGATTTTGTAACAGAAATAAATTTGGGTTGTCACATCATCCCCCCGTTAGGGAAATTTCATCCCAAAATTTAGGATTCATACTCATAAGAATTACTATACTACTCAGCGAAGAGATGAGGATATTTGAGTTTCATTTGGTCTTCGCGCTCCCAAGTGAATTCGGGTCCCCGCTTGGCGTTCCACCGAACTTTCACAATTGGGATGCGACTTTGTTTCTTTCGTTTTACTTCCCGATCCATAATCTCCGCAGGTTCTTCCACGAAGTTGTGGCTCTCATTGACCTCGATCTCGTTGAGGGGAATCATGAGAGTTTCTTCAGACCGGCATTTCTTCAAGTTTGAGATGTGGAAGGTAGGATGTATGTTACTTAGCTCGTGGGGTAGGTTAAGTTTGTAGGCTACAGGCCCGATTCTAGCGAGAATCTCGAAATGCCCTATTTACCTTGGGTTCTACTTTCCACGCTTTCCGAAACGTATCACGCCCTTCCAGGGCGAGACCTTCAAAAGGACTTGGTCTCCCACCTAGAATTCCAAGGGTTTTCTTTGTTTGTCAGGGTAGCTTTTCTGTCGATCCCTAGCGGCTTTTAATCGTTCACGTATCTGTACAATTTTCTCAGTCGTTTCTCGAATGATCTCCGGACCAGTGAGGGCGCTATCGGGAACTCGCCTTTTAGCTAACTGAGTGTCACCCACCTCAGCCCAGCACAGAGGGGATCTGCACTTCCGGCCATAGAGGGCTTCGAATGGAGCTGCCTTGATGCTCGTATGATAACTATTGTTGTAGGAAAACTCCACAAGAGGTAATTGTGTGTCCCATGATTTGCCGAAGTCGATCACACAAGCTCGCAGCATATCTTCTAAGGTTTGGATCGTCCTCTCACTCTGTCCGTCGGTCTGTGGATGGTAGGCTGTACTCATGTCCAGCCTCGTCCCTAGCGCCTTTTGTAGTGATTGCCAAAATCTTAAGGTAAATCTACTATCCCTATCCGAGATAATAGATATAGGGACGCCATGTACTCGTACTATTTCCTTAAGTTATGTTCTAGTGAGCTTCACCATCTTGTCCGTCTCCTTGATGGGTAGGAAGTGTGCGGACTTGGTCAACCTCCCGACAATGACCCAAATGGTATCTAACCCACCCGTTGTCTTGGGCAGTTTGGTTATAAAGTCCATTGTGATCCGCTCCCACTTCCATTCCGGTATCTCAGGTTGTTGGAGGAGTCCTGATGGCTTTTGATATTCGACCTTGACCTTCGCACAAGTAAGGCACTTACTTACAAAGGTAGCGATCTCCGCTTTCATGTTCGGCCACCAGTACAGCTTTTTAAGATCTAGATACATCTCATCTGAACCCGGGTGGACGGAGTAGCTAGTGTTGTGTGCTTCCCTCATGACCAAGTCTATGAAACCTCCATGGTGTGGAGTCCAAATTCGGTCCATGAAGTAGTAGGCTCCGTCACCCTTAACCTCCAATTTTTTATCCATTCCGTGCAGGGATTCTCCCATCACGTTCTCAGGCTTTAAGGCTTCCTGCTGAGCCTCTTTGATCTGTGTGGATAGATGTGAATGGATAGTCTTCATCATCGATTTGGTCCTTCAACCAGAATACCCCTTCCTACTCAGGGCGTCTGCTACTACGTTGGCTTTCCCCGGGTGATATCTAATTTCACAGTCGTAATCGTTAAGTAGCTCGACCCATCGATGCTGCCTCATGTTGAGTTCTTTTTGGTTCAGTATGTGTTGAAGGCTTTTATGATCAGTGTACACCACGCTCTTCGTCCCATACTAGTAGTGTCTCTATATTTTTATTGCGAAGACGACCGCTCCTAACTCGAGGTCGTGAGTAGTGTAGTTCACTTCATGGGTCTTTAGCTGCCTCGAGGCATAGGTGATAACCTTTCCTCATTGCATCAAGACACAACCGAGCCCCTGATTGGATGCATCACAATATACAACAAA